AGGCAGAAGTCCGTGACTACAAAGGGAAACAAAACGAAAGGTTATTGTTCGTTTTTTGGTACCTACATTTGTTTTAACATTTAAAAATGGCAGAAGTATATCATTTTTTTTAAAGTTTGGTGTTTTTCTCAACTTCTAGAATTCCTCGGCCCCACATCTTAAAGTTGTCAAGGTTGAGATGACATTATTTCATTCCTCCCTTATATGCAGGGGGGGGGGGTTTCTCGCCCCGTTCCAACCGGTTCGGTTTGAACGGGGCCGGCGGCGTCCTCGTGCACGTGTGCGGTGCACGTATGCGTACTAGCGTCTACGTGACGCTCCAGCTGCTCCTGGAGGATCGCGCAGGCGCTGTATGCATCCTGCACATGCGTGGAAGCGCAGAACTCATCAAAACCGGGTAAGGACTGGGGGCGGGCGGGCGCGCCCCTCGCCATTCCCGGAAGTTACTTACTTCCGGGTTCGCCGACCAACCGGTTCGCAGGGAACGCCGCGAACCGGTTGAAACCTACCCCTGCGTGGGACCATTTTTCACAGTCGCAACCTTTGCAGCATCCCCATGATCATGTGATCAGAGTTTAGATGCTTGGCAACTGGTTCATACTTACGACCGTTGCTATGCCCCGAGGTCATGCGATCATTTTTTGTGACGAGCAAAGTCAAGTGGGGAAATCAGATTCACTTAACAAGCAGGTTTCTAACTTATCAACTCTGGTAATTCACTTACCAACTGTGGCAAGAAAAGTTGTAACATGGGGCAAAACTCACTCAACAAATGTCTCACTTAACAACAGAAATGTTGGGCTCAATGGCGTTCGTAAGTCGAGGACTTCCTGCATTAATGTTTCAAACATGGCAACTAAAAACAATAAAGGCAAACAAATCAAAGCCTGAATACAAATTGCAGCATCAGGGAAGCTTTAAAAAATCCCTGATTGTCTTAGAGATAAACTGTATTAACACACTATTCAAATCAGACAATTTTGAAAAGCTAAGAAGAAAACAAAAAGACCAGAACACATCCTCTCCACTGGCCAACGCCCTGATAAGCAGGGATTAACACCAGACAAAATTGGACAAAAAGCAATACCGTAATCAAGAAATTAAGAGTGGCTAAGAAGTGATTCTAGGGGGTGGTGCTCATCTCCGTTTCAAAGCCGAAGAGCCAGCGCTGTCCAAAGACGTCTCCATGGTCATGTGGCCGGCATGACTAAATGCCGAAGGCGCACGGAACACTGTTACCTTCCCACCAAAGGTGGTTCCTATTTTTCTACTTGCATTTCTACATGCTTTCGAACTGCTAGGTGGGCAGAAGCTGGGACAAGTCACGGGAGCTCACTCCATTACGTGGCGCTAGGGATTCAAACTGCTGAATTGCCGACCTTCTGATCGACAAGCCTAGCGTCTTAGCCACCCAGCCACTGCATCCCTCTCCATGAAGATACATATTGGCAAAGTCTAAGTTCCATTACCATCCAAAAATAAAGTTCACTGATAAACAGGTGTTTTCTGAACGATTGGCTGTGAAGTTGCTATTGGCTCAGATAACAAGGCTTGAATTGGCAAGCAAGCAACAATGCATGAAGTCGAATTAAAATAGTTTTGAACTCATGTGTGAGACAAGCGATAAATCCCCTTTTTTCAGTCCAAATCTTTTAGATGTTGTCAATTTCAAAACAAAACCATTCGTCATTTTATAAAATTATGTTGAAAGTTCCAATGTTAAAATATTATATAATCTCTCCTTATAAATTACAACCTGCCATTAGCACATGAATGGACAAAATATATTTTCATGCTAAGGCACTTATCTATAGTGTTTTGCTAGAGGAGTGTTGTGGCCCGCCGATGGCCAGCGGAACTGGCAGCAGAGTCGGACAGTGAGAAGGTTGGAACATGGGAAAGTGCTGGAGGTTGAGGAAAGCTCAGACGAAGGCTCTGCGTCGGAGGCAGAGAGGGAGCTAGACAGCAATGAGGCAGAGGAACAGCTGGAGCCTGTTCCCAGTGTGCGCATGCGCAGAGTTGCCAGAAACAACTAAGAAACCAAGGTCGACTTGGGAGTAAAGCCACACCTTGGAGGTGATTGGCTCCTCCCAGAGGAAACAAAAGAGAAATGAATGGGGAAAGTGTTTTTTTGCAGGAAACAATTCATTCCTTCGGCCGTTTCAAGAGTGGAAAATGCTGTTTGTGACTATAAGAGACTCTGTGCCAAGCGTTGCCTTGCCCTGCGCTTGGAAACTAGTTATCTGGCAGCTTGCCAAGCGAGATAAGGTTCGTGTGGATAAACATTCCTCTGAAAGAATGTTTGCCAAGCCTTGCTGACTGGGAATGAAAGGAATTCACAGTCCTGTAAATAAAAGAGGTTTTGCCGGGACCAAAACGTGCTTGTTAAGGAAGCCTAAGTCACAACAATCATATGCCAAGTTAAGATTGTTGGTCACGGTTAATATTTGGCAGTATCTCAGCCATATTTACCATGGCTAACAGCCAGCACTTCCTTTTTCTTATAGTATTAATATATAAATAAATCAAATTTATGACAAAAGAAATCAGGAATGTGAGTTCTAGTCCCATGTTACAGCCAGATGGCCATGGGCCAATCACTCTCTCTCAGCCCAAGCTCTCACACAGTTGTTGGGGGGGGAGCAGGGGGAATAGGAGAAGGAAGGGACATCAGGTACCTTCAGCACCCTGAGTTACCTATAAAAATATTAAAGGCAGGATATAAATAAATAAATCTCCATTATATCTTCTGTGGGGTAGGAGGCACTGGGAGAGTGTGACCAAGTAGCTTTCCCGGGAAAGATGGGCCTGAAATTGGTCCGTCCCCTCCCTCCGGTGCTAGTCATTACTATATTTTTCAGTTTTTACACTTTCTTATCTATACAATTATGCTGCAATAGGGAATCAACATTATGGGATTGAGGTTGTCTCATCCAGGTGTGGTTGTGAGAGAGGCCAGGACAATGAGGAAGGTAACCTGACAACATCTGAAGACCCATCTCGTGTTCACTCTCCTCTACATGAAAATGAACATGTTAAGGAAGAGGTTGTTAAAACCTTTTGTAGATACAACTCCCCTAAAAATCCAAACACCAAAACTAACACAAATCTCTCTATATATTACAATGGCTCTGTGTGTGTGTGTGTCTGTGTGTGTGTTCTAGCATAACTCTGGAACGCCTCAAGCAATTTCAACCAAACTTGGTACACAGATAACTTACACTCTGGAAACAAATACTGTGGGGGTAAGACCCGCCTAACCCCCTTGAGGGGGTTGTTCTGTTAAGATACAGCCTGTTGTGCCTTAAAATGGCTTCTACTGTACTGCCGTAAAATGGCTTCTAGTATACAGCACAGTGCCATGGTAACGGCTTCACAGTACTCCACAAGGGGGCTCCCTCTGGTAAGGGGGAAAATCCAACATTAGAAATTACATTTGGTCCGGACATTTCCCTCCTATAAATAAATAACCGAACAACACCTTGTTATCAGCTAGTGAATAATAAAAAAATAATACAATGAAACTTTGGAACAGGTGGATTTACAGTATTATGACAATACACAACTAAAAGTTTTTGGATTTGGATTCTGTCCGTAGTTTTTCAAGGAAGGTGCACTTCACAGTTTGGGAAACCCTAGTGTGAGGGAAAAACTCAGACTTAAAATTATAACCAATCAATTATAATACAACCAGCTTAATAAAGGTAAAGATGTCCAGCTGTGTCCAACTCTAGAGAGTAGTGCTCATCTCCATTTCTTAGCCGAAGGAGCCAGTTGGCCAAAGACATTTTCATGGTGATGTGACTGGCATGAGTATATGCCACGGTGCATGGAACACTGTTACCTTCACACCAAAGTGGTACCTATGTATCTACTCGCATTTGCATGCTTTCAAACTGCTAGATGGGCAGGAGCTGGAGCAAGGAATGGGAGCTCACCCTATTGCGTGGAGCTCAGATCTTGAACCCAAGCTGTCAGCTCTCCAGCTGAAGAGCTGAATGTACTTACTCTCCTAGTGTTTCCTACCCCCATAACAACTTAATAACCATGTAGAAATTATGAGACCATAATGGAGATGGAACAATAAAACACTGACATTTTAAACATAAACATGGCATTGAAGCATACACATTGAAAAGGTACTGCCTTAAGATACGGAATAACATTGGACAGTATGATCTTTGTACTCCGACAATCTTAAAATAGCAAGTTAAGTAAACATAAAATCAGCTGTTAAAAGTCCTGTGTTGCTTAGTTTCTGCCAGTTCCGATTGGAACAAAGCTTTTTCTCTCTTCAGTTTCTTGTCAGGAGATCATTTGCACGAAACTGAAGAAAAACACAACTCCATTTTGTTGCTTGCTGTTTTGGCTTCAAGGCAAAAGATAAATTCCACCATCGGGGGGTGGGGGGAAAATGCTGCTTCCCACCCACCCACCCCCCGAAACAAGCATTTCCTGAAACAGCCACCTGTCCCCAATGTTACAATACTGCTTCAAAATCTAGAACGTGATCCATAGAAAATCGTTTCCCACAGTGATTTTGCTTTTGAGGGAGACAAAGCTATCTGAATGAAGAGTTTTTGTTTTTTTGGGGGGGTTCAACTGCCTTTATGTAGCGCAGTGTTTCTTAATCTCGGCTTCTTTAAGATATGTGGATCTCAACTCCCAGAATTCCTCAGCCAGCCCTGCTAGCTGGTGAATTCTGGGAGTTGAAGTCCACACATCTTAAAGAAGCCAAGGTGGAGAAAAACTGATGTAGAGGAATTGTGATAGGCAAATTCAAGGTAACAGGAGCCAGAATCGGCAGCTGGCGATAAAAAAATATAAACCTAAGGATGTTGGGTTACTCTCAGCCATTCTCCCAATTCAGGCAACCTGAGGGCATTGCTTCATAATGACCCTACAAAATTGAAGCTTATTACAGTTAGTCCTTGACTTACCAAAGTTCATTTAGTGACTGTTTGAAGTTACGACAGCAAAAACTTGTGTCCATTTTCCACACTTAAAAGCACTACA